GAAATAATAGCAAATAAGTCAGGCGATCACTTGGTTTAAAAGAGAAAACTTCAGTGAGCTTAAACACAAAAAGGAAGCTTACAAGAAGTGGAAACTTGGACAGATGACTAGGGAGGAGTTTAAAAATATTGCTCAAGCATGCAGGGGTGTAATCAGGAAGGCAAAGCACAATTGGAGTTGCAGCTAGCAAGGGATGGGAAGGGTAACAAGAAGAGTTTCTACAGGTATGTTAGCAACAAGAAGGTCAGGGAAAGTGTGGGACCCTTACTGTATGGGGAAGGCAACCTAGTGACAGATAATGTGGAAAAAGCTGAAGTACTCAATGCTTTTTTTGCCTCGGTCTTCACTGACAAGTTCAGCTCCCAGACTGCTGCACTGGGCAGCACAGTATGGGGAGGAGGTGAGCAGCACTCAGTGGTGAAAGAACAGGTTAAGGATAGTGGGAGGTTGGGTGTTGAATGGGGTAAATTAAACTGTCATCACATTAAGCAGTTGTATATCCAAATATATATATATATATATAAATGTGCTCCTCTCCTATAACTATAAAAAAGCAGAATCAATGGCCCATTGCAAAGTGGGGGCATTTAGGGGTAATGTATATGTGGTATGGTGTATTCTGTTGGAAATGTATGCAATCTTGCAATGTAACACTAGGAGGCAAATTTCTTCCAGTATATAACCAAATTATAAACTTCTATCCAAATTATAAACTTCTATACATTGCCGCCTTAACTATGGTACACCAATAAATGAGTAAACTTAATTGTTGTAAACAATCAAACCAGCACCTACGACCCCATGCCATACCAAGTAGTTAAATTGGTTTAAACAATACCAAATTTCACTGTAAATATTCAATAAACACACAATATAAACAAAAGTACACAAAAATTACAAGAGCAACTTGCTGCAAGTGCCAACAGTTGGACACACTTACAATACACACTACAAAATGGTGCTAACAAAATTTTAACCCTATCAAAGGAGGAGAAGCAGTGTTTTTGGTGGTGGCCAAAATGTTAAACCATACCGCAGTGGTCAAAACTCTCAGAGTTGCTGTAAATTATTATAGCAGCTAGTATATTGTTAACTATATTCGTGTTACATTGCATATAAAACACAATCAAGGGGGGCACAACCCTATAACCTATAAGTAATGTAGTAAGCCCTCCCCCCCAGTGTACTAAACAACCCAAACCCAACCTTCTTGGGCCCACTATAATGGGAAGTCTGGAACACTAATTGAAATAGGTGTGATATGCCCGTATGAGAGAAGGTGCAGGGCACGGTACTACACAAGGGGCAGTAAAACAAATAAAGCGTCAACACCTTTCACCTTAATGCTTGGCCCTATCAGGAAGTGTGTCGACACATATCCTATGATTTTCCAGGAATACCTGG